TAAAAAAGCATCATGTTCCATGTTAGGTTTGAAAATTTTTTCCGTCCGACATCGCATTTCAGCCATATCATAATTTGGGAATAACTTCATGGCTCCGCCAGTGTCCACTGCTTTACTTGAAAGGAAATGAAAGTCGATGCATCGGACGTGTGTGTGCCGAGCACAATTGGTTAGACCAACAACTTTTAAAAGAAAGAACTTTGTTTACATAATAACACTAAAAAGGGGGTACAAATTATGTTACATTTTGACACATGTCACGACAAACCTGAAGAAGCTAATCACATCTGGCTGACTGGCTCCATAGATGTGCAGATACTCCCATGAACGTCTATATTTGCTCTGATAGTGTGTTGGAAGGATTGAAACTTTACCACTGCCAAGCCAAATGGTAAGTTCATCTCATGTTTACAATCAAAATCTTGAACTCCAGCAAGGCATGTGTACTTCATGGGCAATGACCAAGATGACTGAAATATATATGCATAAAAAACAGAATGATCTACCACTGTTTTAGCAACGAAGCTGGCAAGACATGCTTCAAGCTGAGTTGTAAAGCGGGTTTGGTAGGATCGCTTAGCATTCTAAATCCTATATCTGCACCTGCAACCAGGGATAAATATATGTAGTAAATAAACGCTTATCAGGTTAGAAATGAGATTCTTCTAAGAATAGCTCCACGCTAACAGACAATATTTTAAGGCATCCTAAAAAATATTTAGCAGATACAAGTATATAAAACAGGACAGCAAACAAGTATATAAAATAGGACAGCAAACCTACCCAGATTAGATCTATATGCCCAAAATGAAAAGTACAGTAACAAATTCAGAATGTGAAAATCCCAAAGTTCATATACGTTAAACCTGATTAAATTACAATTTTAGAGAATTAACTGCAAGAGCCCTAACTAATACCTTGCAGATTTATGGTGAACTTGTTGTATCAGTCAATACAAACCACAGAGAGAATGCAGGAAGTAAAAAGAATCTACAGGGCTTCCATCTATTGTATGTTTCTAACTGAAATCCTAATTCATCAGTCACCTTTGAGTGAAGGCAGCTCAGCTAATATAAATAATGTTAAGCCAATATCAAAGCATATCATACGCAAAGTCTGACTCAACTCTTTAAATAAAAAATCCTTCACTTCCACCATATAAGGCTTTTCTTACCATAGGCTTTATCTAGGGTAGGTGCTTCCTGATAAAAAATAAAGTTTTTGAAGTTTCAGATACATTGTACCAAGCAAGGGATCTTCATCATTTGACAATGTATGACATGAAATAATAAACATTACAAAATAGCAAACAAATTTGAATACATGCTCCACATTCTGCTTCGTTCTTTATTCTTTATTTGAACACATATGAACAGTTCATATTTTAGCAATCTTAAAATTAAATGAGCCAAAATCAGATTAAAGCAATAACCGTCAATTTACAGATTAAATATCTAATAAAAATTTAAAGGACATGTTTCAACCAAATTAAGGCAATAAAAAGACAACCATACACGACATCTAAGTTTATCATTGCTATATATCCATATCCATAAAGAAATACATCATCACATCATCATACAGCATTTCTATTTCATATTAGACTACAAGTTCATCAGGTCTTAATGGTCTATGAAAATAGAAATGACATAGCATGGTTTTTTAATAGCTGATATTTCCAAAGCTGCAGGCCCCTTCAGTCTATGCATCTAACCTCGAATAATTTTATTCTTTTTTTTTTTTTGTCAAAAATAATAATTTTATTCATACAAGGAAAATATGGGGAAGGGAAGGGGGAAGCCGAGACAGTGCCTAAGAAAATTTTGCACAGAAGCACTCAATGTAATAACATAAAAATAGTGCATTTAATCAGTAAAAATAATGGTCACTGGAATACCAAAAAATGAAATGAGAAATATGTGTAACCTTGCTTGCTATTCTAACTCAGCCATGTTTTCTTCAGGGAAGCAATTTGGTCCTCTGAAATTTGTACAATAAGCACCATCATACTGGAGGACCCTAAGTCTACCTTCCTGCATTTTAAAGCAAGATAGTTACACAATCAAGTAAAATGGTTTCAGAAATGAAGACCTCTTTCTTCTATTTGCTTTTCCTTTTTCTTTTCTATCATGGGGGGGGGTAGGGGTGGGACTTAAGTGGCTTTATGATTACAGAATACAAATTAAAATGCTCATTCTAAAGATCATAAAGTTCAGACCTTAGTTCCATAAACAAGACCTCCTCCAGCAGAAGGATGGAAGCAAGCAACGTTGACCTCATCCTCAGCACTAGGAAGCACTCTAACAAGTTCCATATCAGAAACTCTATATACCTGACTGACAAAAAATTAGCCAATTTAACCTTGAAGTAAAACATGGGAAATCCAAAATAGCACTGTAAGTCTCAAGAAGAATTCTAGCTAGAGATACAAAGGAGAAACAGAATATTTTATTCCATAACCACGCTATAAAAAGATTCAATGGTAGATCCTCAAGATGTTAACAAAAAGAACAGAAGCTCAGATGTTCAAGTTGCAAATGGAATGCATGTGATTCAAGTATAACCTCAATTATAATAGTCGGAAATTCCATGACTAAAACAAGTTCTGAGAGAGAAAGGAAATGGAGAGAGGTGCATTTACAGTACCATAGGCTGCAAGGACTAAAAGAAATAGAAAGAATTTGAACTTCTACCTCTAGAACCGTATACACTGGTGATGTTGTTTTCCCATCAATCACAATACTTTTTAGAAGAGAACCATGGCGGCGACCATAGGCAAGCAATATATGTTCGGAAGTAGGTGAGAACTGAAATAAAGAAAATAAATCCACACATTATAACTGCTAAAGAAAACAGCTTTCAATTATGGAAGACAAACAAAATTCATTTGATTTAGAGTATTAAAAGAAATTGGATATTTGAGGTTTTAACATTTTAGCAGTTAAGTGATATCGAACAATCCACAAACATATAACCCATCCAGTCCTGAACCTCTTGACAATAATTAGTATCATTAAGCACTCTTTCTCGATCCCAATATCTAATTATTGAGATAGCCTTAAGGTGAACACAGAAAAGAACAAATTGCCAGATGCAAGCATAGTGTCAAATGCTTAGTAAAACAATTGGAACATTACCTTAAATCTTATCCTAAAGAACAATTTTATTTAAGATTCATCAGTAATGACTTCAACAATAGATACAAAGGACAAGGCATCCAAGTGCAGCAGCAGAAAGGTAGTTTGTAGAAGCATCAGTTCCTTTGGTAAATTCAAGTCCTTTTATTTTCTAACTAATTGCAAGAGAGGGTAACCAGAAAAGAAGTGGAAATTTTTTCAGAACATATAACTTAAAGAGAGCATGCATGCCAAAAGTGCCCAAAAAATGGAAATCAAAGACAGAGGGTGATAGTGGCTTTGATGATGGCAATTTTGTAGTTGAAAATGCAACCATGAATAAATAAAGAAAAGCAAAAACAACAAAATCCCAGATCATCTTTGAATAGAAGCTGACCTGGATTGATGTCAAACAATGAGCAGCTCTAATGGCTCTTGATATAAGCACTGAACCAAAGCTGTATCAATAAAATGAACATCTTGTAGTTATTGCCCCTTTAAATTTATAACGTACTTGATCATTCAGGAAACAGTAAGGGATTAAACTTTACGTTGCTTCCTCAAGGGAATATATACGAAGCTCATAAATAACTTGGTGAGCTGAGATTGGGTGTCGAGTTGGAGATGTTGCAAACCCAGGATCCTGATGGAGAGGTGTTTGCAGCCCACTGTCAGCTTCCATACTAGGAAGCAAGCAAGCAACGCATGCAGCTAAAAATTTCCCACAAGGCGAAAAATGGGCACCCATTTCACTGCAATCAAATTTTAGCCAGGAGGTGACGTTACTTGAAGATAGTCGCATGCCAGATCAAATGCAGATACGAAAAATAATTAAGAATGTAACAACCAAGCAAAAAAACAGAATCCCTTAAATTTAGCAGTAATGATTCCCAAAAAGCACATCCAAGTAAAAATTTACCTTGCTTCATACTAGCTTGTAAGAAAAGAGCAGATAGGATAAGAGAGCATTATCTCACATAAAGTAACACATCAAACTATTAACAAATACCAAAAACGTTACCTGCAAAGGACAGCATGTGGAATGGTTAAGCGGCACTTTTCAACACTCAGGGGTGCAAAAGGATTTTTTATATCATGTGACCATAATCTGAGCTTCACAGTACAAGGCAACTCAGCAGCTGAAGCTACAGCCAATGACGTGGGAAATTCAGTGTGGATTCTATTCATGACAGGTTGAGGACCAGTCCCATCCTGTGCTGTGTGACTGGATGAAGATTCAGAAACAGAGAATTGGGACCATGAATTAAGCTCCAAGTTAGGTCTTCCAGAAACATTAGAATTGGTAGGTGGATGCAATGCTGAAGGTGAACCCATGTGTTGAACTGAAAGTTCACTGGCACGGCTATTAAGAGGAAGCATTAGAGGGATACTGGCTTGTTGACCTGTTAGAAGTACCTGCAGCAAAGGTATCTCCCAACAAGTTGGGTCTCTAAAGGGTAAAAACTCCTGAGGTTGCCCAAATCCGGTGGTGTTTGATTGATTGTCAATTTGTCTGGACCCTCTCCTATGAGAACCACTATAAGTATCTACGTTAGTAGAGTTCATTTCCTGGCTTCCCCTGCTAGGCTGCATTTCATCAGTATCCATTGCATCAACCAATGAATCAGAAGCACCACTTTCCATCCTGTCAGGGAAAGAAAAAGAAGTATCTTCTGTACCAGGAAATGAGCCAGGAGGAATCAGAGGAAACGTCTCCATTGGTGAAGCTGTACCATCATACTGCCCTGTGGCAGTTGTATCTGCTTGAACCCGCAGCAACGGAGAAGGCCCCGCTTGCGTGCCATTTGAACCAACAAGTCTATCAGCATTTTGCAAATCCATTCTCGAATCATCTATAGAAAATGAAGGCATGAACAAGAAAGGCAAGGACATGAGGGGGAGTTCAGCTGCCAAATTAATATGGTCACTAGAATGACCATTTGACAAAAAAACAGCAGGAGGAGGATAGCACAAGTAACCCGATGATGTAGCTGTTGTCATTGAAGAATCTGGTGAGTCAAGATCATTGACCTGCATATAAATCCTATAATGTAATCCCAAATGATGGTAGAATTAAGTAATTGACAAAATGCCCATCAGATAATTCACCTCAGCAGTCAAAAGAAATGGAGCAGCATGCGGATGAAAATGCACAGCTCGTAATGAACGCTTAGTCCTTAACACTATATTTGGTGTGGAAGCCTCCTCTCTCCTATTGTGGTGCCACATATACAGCTGAAGCATGATTCAAGTGTCAACACTATGAGATCAAAGTAACATGATGCAACAGCAGGGATACAAATTGTAAGTAGATACAACATGCAAGCAGTATGGCAGACATCAAAAGTCAGGTAAAATGCAGCACCTTGTGACCTGATGCAACAGCAAGGAGCTCTCCTTCAGCATGAAAAGCAATGGAGGCAATTGGACGATCTACAAGAATTTAAAAGAGACAATACTACAAACATGAGCAACAAATTAAGAAAAAACTTAAAGAAAAAAAGAAAAGAACCTCATAAACAAGCACAATAGAAATCAGATTAGTAATTACAGAAATCACGAGATCCTATACACTCTGATGTGTTTGCATTCCATAGGCGAACTTCATGGTCCAAACTCCCACTTGCAATTATTTCTGGACGCACTGGGTGGAACCTAACCTGTAAAAAGTTCAATTAGCATTTAAAAATGCTGGGGTTCTTTTTTTTTATCCTTTTTTTTATCCCCTCTTTCTACTCAATAAGTTCTTACATAGCTGACTCAATATAAGTAAAATCTGATTGAGGGGGAATGCACCATGTGAGTGGGGGTGGGTGCACTTAAACCCTGAATTACAAAAATGTGCACTTGACCTCCTTGTGATCTGAAAAATGTGCACTTAAATCCCAAGTCTATTAAATATTGAAGGTGCAATGTCAAAAATACTAGCAGGGCAAGTGCACATTTCCAAAATCTGATCTTTATACAAAACTAAGCATTCATGGTTTCCATTTTCCAGGCAAAGAAGAAAATTTGATAAATTTTCTACCAAAAAAATGTCAATTTTCAGCCAAGATTTCAAAACATTTGCCAATATATAACTAGAGCTTAGCCTAGTTTGTTTGCCACCAATTTGCTAAAGCCTAGGGTTAAGGTGGAGACTGGAGAGTTCAAATTGCAAGAATAGCTAAGCATTCCTATGTCCTCATCTATAGAAGACTATTAAAAGATAAGGAACCTTAAAAATAGAAAAGAGCAAGATGAGGACCAATCAGTGTTGTCCCCTAGGGGAAAGCTGTATACCCAACATCTTATGTTAAGAGAAAGCAAGAGAGCAATTATTATTAACTCATATAATTCATAATTACCACCCAAGGCGTCCTCCGATGACCACTCAACACCTTTAAGCAGTTTCCAGATTGGCAATCAATTATCTTAACTGTGTGATCACCACTGCAACCAAAAAAACGAAGTTTCTAAAAACATTAAAAGAAAGCTACAAATTGGAGTCAAAGATAAACAAAATTGAAAAAAGTCCAACTCACTGGGTTGAGGCAAGCGTCCTTCCATCAGGACTAAAGGCTGCCGCAATTGTTGATCTTGGAGGAGGCACCAGAGGACAATACTTGGCTGACAAATGACATAAAGATTCTTCTTCAACCCTGTAAAGAAAAAATCATTTAACAAAATGAACACTGATACCACTTCTCTAGAAAAAAAAAAAAATGCACTTACACAACCCCATTTTCATATATGATGCTGTCCTCTTCTCTCACAGTGACAAGTAATGAAGAATGAGATTCCAAAAAAAAAAAAGAGATAAGCGGGTATAAGTACCATGAAACAAGGCCACGTCTAGCATCTCTAACATGTTCACCAATGAGCTTTGGTAAGGAATTTGAATTATCTTTGGGGGCTTGTCCCCACCTCCTTTTCTGCACATACTTTGTTCTGGGGGAAATTTCTCTCCTTGCTAACAAACATAAGACATTTTTATCACTGAAAAATTTGAAACCACTGAATCAGAGATCTGTAACCAAGTTCAAGGTAATAATAATCCGAAAAGGCAAAAACTTACAAGTTTTTTACCATACTCATGCCATCCACACATGTATCACTAACAAAACTACTTAAATAAAAAAGAAAAACTCATATTTATAACGAATGATATATTAGTTTGAACGTTTCAAAACATGACACCAACTCCAATTAAACAAAGCATTATTGTCAATTCTAGAAAAAAAAAAAAACCAACTTCGAGCAAAAGTGCATGGTATAATCAAATAACCTACCGCCACGAACATGTTTTACCAGACACCAGCAACCATAGATTTCCTGAATTGACCAGAATCATTAAACTACAACTAAATCCATAGCATAAAATGATAAAATAAAAATTAACAAGACATTAAATCAAGTCAAATTAAGCATCAAAATCACATCATCTGTGAAAAAAAAAACCTTTGAACCAAAATTCTCCAAAAATTTTCTGTTGAAACTTGTGAATCTTGGGAGAAGTTCAATTGAATTTCTTACCTCCGGCGTGGAGATTGGAGGGAGGTTTGATCGCGGGGACGGGGACACCTGGTCATTGGAGGGAAGCGAAATTGGAACAGTTATAAGGAGGGAAGTAAAGGGAGAGACATTGGTTTGTTCTGAAAACCCTAAACAATTTCAGAGTTTGTAGTGGACGGAGTAGATCTGGAGGAAGAAGGAGGGGTGAGTCTGTGTTTCCATAACCCTTTCTGGTTCGTCTTTGTGTTGAATTTGAGTTTGGAAATGGCGACGAAAGCTATGGACGGAGAGGAATTAATCGATGCCGAGCTGAGTCTTCTTTTTCTTTGTTTTTTTTTTTTTTTTTTTTTTTTT